GGCCGAAAATCGGTTCCTTGTCATTCAGCGTGTTTCACATCAGGGATCAGTTTTAGAAGTTCGGTTAGGGATACTGGAAGGCAAATTGTCAAAATGTGCCCTGTCAGCTGGCATCATGAGACATTATTGGGCACTTGGAATGATGTCTTACAGAATCAGTATGGCTGATGAGCTAGAGCAGTGATTTTGTCATGTGTGGGTGATTCTGGTCTAGTTGAAAGTGTGTTTGCCTTCTGAGGACTGTTGTGGAGTTGTGTTGGGCAGATAGAGAATGACTCAAAGTAAGGTTCAATTTTTCACTAAAAAAATAAGGTTCCAAGTGTTCAAATAACTGTAATGTAAGGGAACATGCGAGTAACTGTGTGAGCACATTACAGGCTGTCTGAACATGATATTTCAAATAAAGCAGTAGAAAATAACAAGGCCCAGATGAGGTGACAGGTTCACAGGTGACATGAGGAGGGATTCACAGCAGGGGACAGTTGCCCTGTGGCTTGCAGTCAGGAGTTCATGGGTATGGTCTTTTCCCCAACAAATTTGGGGGAGACACCTTTTCCATGACCTAAAGACATTGTAACTACCCAAGTTGTTTAGTTATTATTCTATTGTGCCATTCCCCTGGCTTTTCTGCACAAGGGGCCCCACATAAATGAGCTAGAGAGTGACAACTTTTTCTCAGAGGACCCTTTTGTGCATCAAGTGGTCATTTTTATAATCATTGTCCCATCTTTGTGGATGAGGTAGTCCATGCTCCATATCAGGAGACCCAATGTTCCATTAAGGAGCTCCATTTGCTGGCCTGGGGCACCAACATGATAAACTAGAATGCCCCTGCCCTAGGTTAGGAGACAGCCTCTATATTCAGGAGGTTCTGTCTCTGGAATGGGCCTTTTCATGCATCATTTTCATGCATCATCAGAAGGCCTCAGTTTCAGCTGATGGTGCCTTGTTTGGGGATAATCTCCTTGGGTAGATTTGGAGGCTCATTTGTAAATCTGAAGCATCCTGTTCTTAGGCCCATCTTTGCATCAGGCCACTTTCTATGCAAAGGATTAGGAGGCCCATCTGTGCATCAGGAGACCATCTTCTGAAACCCAGCCACTGCTTTAAGTTAGGGTCCCTTTGCTGCATACTAACAGGTTCTGTGCCAATTTTTAAAATAATTTGCAAGGGATATTGCATGCTGTGCTCCTTTCCATGGGCTGGGACACTGCCCAAGAGCCCCCCCCCCCCCCCCTCCCCCTCCCATCCTGGTGCACCTGCAGGTAGGCCCCACTTTGTCCAGCAGTCGAGAAGCCCACCTGGAATGTCCCGCCCCTCTAACTCAAAACATGTGGCACTACCCCTGACCATGGGCCACATGCATGACCTGGGTATTAATATTTCAGCTGATGTGATCAGAAATATGAATGTTTCCTTGACAACCCCATGGGTTCAGATGACCATGGGCATGGTGAAAATAAGAAGTGCAAATATTAGATTAATTTACCATTAATAAAATCATGAACCATAATCCTGCATTGTCACAATATTTAAGTGGACTGGAAATTATGCATAAAATGCAGATAAATTTGCTAAAATATAAAAGGTTGAATTATTTGCAGATGCAAGTAGTACCATGCTTATCAGAGAACAAATTAGCGATGATTAAAAGATAATGGTGCAGCATGCTGCTGAGTCCATGCTACATTCAGTTAATGACATTGTTCAACATACAGCATGGTTGGCATAGAGCTTGAATGTTCGTCTTCATTTTCTGATCTTAACCTCCTGTAGTTTCAGAAGTCTCAAGGCACCAGGCAGTGAGAAAAATTGGCAAAAGGAAACCACTTAAGATTTAAGATATATCTGTTCTGATCTGTTTACCAGCATGCCTGTCAGCCACGCAGCTGCTGCCCATGTGTGGTCCAGATAGCCACTTGAACCAGCCAGTGTCACCTTGGTCAGCCTGCGGTCATGAACTGCTGTGTGAGGATCAGCTGGCTGGTCGCCGCCCATCCCGTCCTGCTGCCGCGCCGCCACCTGACGGTGGCCGGCCTGCGCGTGCGCCACCAGTACGACCCGCCGCCGGCGGAGAGCCTGCGCTGGTTCCCCGGCCACATGCGCACCGGCTGGCACCAGATGGAGGCCAAGCTGCGGGCCGTCGACGCCGTCATCGAGGTGCATGATGCGCGCGTGCCCTTCTCGGGTCGCAATGCGCGTTTCGAGCAGGCGCTGGCGGCCCGGCCGCGCCTGCTGGTGCTCAACAAGGCCGACCTGGTGACGAAGGAGGACCAGCGGCGCGTGGCGGCGCGGATGGCGCGTGACGGCGCTGGCGACGCCCCCGTGTTCGCCTGCTGCCGAGACCAGGCGGACGCCGGCTTGCGCTCGCTGGCTCGCAGGCTGTCTACGGTCATAACGGGCTCGGAGCGGGCGGCGCGCGCCGACCCGCGCGAGTTCAACTGCATGGTGGTGGGCGTGCCCAACGTCGGCAAGTCGTCGCTGATCAACGCGCTGCGCGGCCTGCACCTGCGTCGCGCCGCCGCCGCGGCGGTGGGCCCGCGTGCCGGCGTCACCCGTTCGGTGACGACGCGCGTCAAGGTGTCGGAGCGACCGCTGATCTACGTGCGCGACACGCCGGGCGTGCTGGAGCCGCGGCTCAGCCCGCCAGAGGCCGGCCTGCGGCTGGCGCTCTGCGCCGCCCTGCAAGACCACCTGGTCGGACCGCACCTTCTCGCCGACTACCTGCTCTACTGGCTGAACAGGCGCGGCAACCACGCCTACGTGTCGCACATGGCGGTGGCGGCGCCGACTGATGACGTGGCGCGCTTGCTGGCTGAGAGCGCGGCGGCGCGCGGGCGCTTCCAGCGCGTCCGGGACGTGGCGCGCGGGGCGGTGGTGCGCCGGCCCGACACGCACGGCGCTGCCCTCCACATGGTGCGCGGCTTCCGCGCCGGCGTGCTCGGTCAAATTCTGCTGGACGATGACCTGCTTGAGGAGCCGGCGGGGGAGGCGGCCGGTCGACTCTGAACATTGTCGGCGTGGTGTCTGTGCGTGCGTGCGTTTGTGTGTGTGTGGAGGGAGGGGGGGGGGGGGGGCGGAAGGAAAGTGTTATCGTCAAGCCGCCGCTCTGTTAGTGCGTGATGTTTACATCAGATGGAAAAAATATATAAGGGTGTTTTATTTATTGAGCTTTTGTGCTTGTTTTAATGAATGATTGGTTGTTGCTAGTCACGTTACCTCGTCATCTGGTCCATGAGAGTCGAATGAGCTACTCTGGATATGGCCATAGGATCTGCTCTTGCTCGGATAAGACCATGCGATCCGCACGCGCTCGGCCGATAGGTTTGGCTGATGCATTTGTGATGTGCTTCAGGGTGCTTCAATTGTCATGTTCACCGGACAATAGCACTTAATCATCCAAAATCCTGTATTCGCGCACCAAAAACAAAGAATGGCCTTCAATGCACCAGATAAAGCGACATACTAACTCCATTGATGTAAGGTAATATAGCATGTCTATCAAAACTACAAAACGACGCTAAGCTGGCCAGTTCTACCAAATGATTGGGGAGGTACAATTTCAACTACGAATAACGTCAGCGGTTTTGCGCGCAATGTGCGCAACTGCGGTCCTTGTAACCGGTGACTCCGCTTGGGCCGTCGGGGCTTACCATGTTTGTCGCGGGACCCAGTTTGAATCGTCTGGGCCCTCCTGTCGACCAAAAGGGCGTGATGTTAGCCATCTCGGGCCTCCCACGGGTGGCATATTTTCTCCTACGCGCCTCAAAGGCTGTTGTTTTGATTTGAGGAATGTTCTGCCTCGGCATGGAGGCGGGACCTCCCATCGGCGTGCTGGGAGGTCCCGCCTTCTGCATCTCGCCCTCTGCATCACGGAGTCTCCCTCTGCATTACGGGGCCACCCTCGGCATGACAAGGCCTCTCCCCGGCGTGACGGGTTTGCCCCTTGGCATGGCGGGCGTTCTTAAATTTCAATGTGGTCCAGCTCCAGAAGAGACGCGTAATGCAGCAGAGGGATGAACAGACGTTTCGAACATGAGCCCAGCTGAGAGCGCTGAAGCACTGGAGGGCTGATGACCAAAACGACTGCTGAGCCCTGCTTCAATAAGCGCTGCCTACCACTCTATATGGTACACAGACCAACCATCCAGTATACCTCCAAGAGCGCCGTAGACCGTCATCCAGCATGCTTTTTTCAAGAGCTGCAATGCGATTGCTCAATGGGTCAATATCCGGTCAATTTTGCGCTTGGTACCAGGGGAGGCGGGCGGACGGGATGCAGTCCAACCCAGACGCGGATATCTCATATTGCGTGTATTTACGCATCTTGTGCAACTGCCTCATAATCAGCTGGCGTAATTACGGGCTTCAGGTCGGATGCAGCAGGATGATGACGCCACGAAGCTGTCGGATCACCGCAGTCAAGCAGGGGACTACACTGAGGAGCAGACATATAACATTTAAGCCTACATACGGTGACCCCGTTTGCTGCTGAAGACTTGAAGGCTGGTGAATAGGCGAAGATCAGGAGTCGAGTCGAGGGCACGAACTTTCAGCGTTTGCCATCGCCAGGTGTGAAGAGGGGGAAGAGAAAATTAGCCAAGAGGAGGCGACATAACTACCTTACGCCTGCCACCGCCGGAACTGGACCCGATCTCGCCCAGCGCCGGCGGTGGCAGATGTAGGATAGGTGTCGTCCATCTTTTCTTCCCTCTCCACCCAGATGGTGGACACCGAAAGCTCGTGCTCCCCACTAGAAATCTTCTGATCTCCACCCATCCACCAGCCTACGATTCTTGGGAACGAAGCTCGTGCATGACCAGGCGCCGGGCGGTTCCTGGTACGGATAGCCGTTCCCCTGCATTGTAACGGCCCAGATGACGTGACAAGTGACTGCCAGTTTATGTAGTCATGACACTGACCGGTCTCTAGAACCCTCAGTGGGCCAGCCAGATTCCTTCGCCGCCAGATATAGGCAAGACGTACACGAAATCCCCACTTAAATATAATATTTATTTTCTTCACCAGTGCACTATTTACATCATTTATGTACACGATATAAAGCTATCAGTGGCCATGCGCTGCTGCTGTTTCCACTTCTCTGTCACAATGCGTCCTCAATGTGCGCCACGGCAGGACCTTCGCGGGACAGTCACACCGCCGTCCGGACAGATAAAGCACGCCGCCTGCCCGGCCGGACGGGGCCCCCGCTGCTGCTCTCCTCCAGCCAGAGGCGTCCACTGGTGCCCGTGGCCTCGAGGTCGTCTCCAACGGCAGTTGGCGGCGTCCACAGGTTACCAGCAACGTGTACCGTGGCCTGTATCGGCCGCCGCCACCGTCCGGACCCCCACAACGCTAATGTGACGGTGGCTCCTCGCCCCAGCGCGACCGAGCAGAAGGCCGCCGGAGGCGACAGTAAGCAGCGCGGCCCGGGCCTGCTCGCGGCAGCCGTCGGCGCTCCCGCCCCGTAGCGTCGACAGCTCGGACACAGCCACCGAGCCGGCCCGCCCGCCACCGCCCGCGCCAGGCTCGGGGTCGCCCGCGGTCCGCCGGCCGTCGCCACAGCTGACGCTGGTGACCGACGCTCAGTCGTCCAGCGTGCCGCTGGCGAGGTCGGTCATGCGCGGAAAGCGCATCTTCTTCTGGTCCAGCTGCATCTGCGCCCAGAGCAGCAGCTTGAGCAGCGTCTCCAGGCGGGTGGTCGGGTCAGCGGAGCTCTCCTGGCGCAGGATCGCCGCGTTCAGCTCACTCGCCACCTGGAGGCCACGATCGGAAGTTACTGCAGTTCTGCCGCCACTAGCCAATCCGATGCTCGAGTGTGCATTTTGCAGCCTCTCTGGAGAGTAGTGTTAACGGCGAACAAAGCGTGTCCACCAGGAGGCTTAAGATAGCCCGTGCAGTCATTTTCCGGTGGGATGAGCGGAACCAAAAAAACAGCCGGCGAAAGGCGGCTGATATAGAAAACGGCGGCCATATTTAGCCACCCCGGTGCCTCAACGGACAGAAATAGGCCGCAGGGCCTTATCAGTTGTTTTCTTCTGCTCACTCCACCCCTGATTCCAACCGAAAGAAATCGCGTGCGAGCCCCAGCGATGCCTCGGGGCGACAAGCAAGTTTGCGCGTGCATTCAGTCGTCGCCATCAGCTTCATAGTATCACCCACTCGGGTTATGTGACGGTTGAACGTCGTGGAACGTAAAGCTGTAGCTCACCAGGCTTCTGCCCAAAATTGAAGCAACAATTTAACCACAACGAACGGCCAATACGCCCGACATTGGCACACATACACGCTCAATCGCTGTCCTGTACTTTGGTCACATCGTCGGGTCTCCACCAAGCGCGGCTCGAACGACTCAGCAAAACCGGGGCTACGACGTATCATTCGCCCAAACAACGACTATTTCCCATCTGCTACATAGATCCGTGCCGCAACGAGCCACGGAGCGCAGGCATGTGGACGCCAAACAACCCCTCCAACTCAGCGAGGGCATTTCCCTCCATCTCGCGCCGTCTACCTTCTGCCGGTGCGAGGCGTTCAGCAGGTCGCCGAAGGGACAGTTGGCCGGGTCCTCAAAAGCGAGCAGAGCCAGCGTGCGCTCCAGCTCTGTCAGCACCTCAGTGTTCTCCTCGCCCCGCTCGGCCAGGCTCTGCTGAGCGAAGCTGCCGCACGGAGTGGGACGGCGTCACAGACGGCAGCAACTCCCCGGCAGGGACGGCCGGCTGGGCCGCGCGCAGGGCGGGGTGGCGTCACAAAGGGAGGCACCTAAACGATTGCTTTGAGAGCCTAGCCCAGATTGCGGCGCCGGCCGTTTGGGGTGCTCGCCTCCACTTCAGATCCGGCGGTATAGTGATGGGACCACTGCAGATCCGGCGGTATAGTGATGGGACCCCTGCGGATCCGGCAGTATACTGATCGGCCCACTGCAGATCCGGCGCTATAGTGATGGGACCACTCCAGATCCGGTGGTATAGTGATGGGACGACTGCAGATCCGGCGGTATACTGATGGGACCGCTGCACCGCTGCAGATCCGGCGGTACAGTGATCGGACCACTGCGGCGATGCATGCCAATGTCGCCGCAGCTCACCTTAGCGCCTCCTCCACGCGGCCGTCGCGGATCAGCTCGATCAGATGCTGCTGCTGCAGAGACAGACACGTCCGTTAACGGGCCATACCAGGCCACCACGCCACCTTGTCCTGAGACCGGCTTGGCGAGGATATTCGACAAGAGACTGTGAAAGCCGAGAGCCAGTGTTTCGGAAGGCTGTTTTTCAGATAGTTCAGCTTTGGTTGAGAGTTCTCTGGCTGCTCGGCAGCTTGGCGATATTTTTCGCCACGTGGTGCGAACATTTGGGTCCACGCATAGGGACCTCACCCGGTTAGATACTTGAAGATACTGTGGTAGCAATCAAACGGACATGGCGGAACGCAAGACCATTATACTATCACACAATAACTACTGGAAATGTAATAGAATGAACACTCCTGAGCCAGGACAGTGCACGGCCTATACCAATCCATCCAGTCTGAGCTCACGCGAGTAAAAACCATAGGATACAATGAACAACAAGAAAGCGAAACGATTCCCGGGCCTCCAAACCTCCACAATGCCCTACTGCCGGATGCGTCTCCCCATAACCACCAGCATCGAAATACCTCATGTCATCTACCCAGTCACGACTAAATCTCGCTCCACTCCCCTTCCAACCGCCCCAGCCGCAGCTGGTGGCGCGGGTGGCGGGTCGCCGCGGCGCACCTGCAGGTGGAAGTAGAGGTAGCGGTCGCTGTCCAGCAGCTCCGGGTGCAGCTTGTTGACCACGTCCGTGGCGTCCGAGATGCGTCCTTCGCGGATAGCGTCCCGGATCCTGCGGCGCAGACGTCAGCGACGCGTCACCGGCTGCCGGGAGAGCATGCAGCGGCGCACTGCGGGGCCCTTCACCGGTGGGTGGCCACTGCGGGGCCCGTCACCGGTGGGTGGCCATTGCAGGTGCCGTCACTGGTGGGTGGCCACTGCGGGGCCCGTCACCGGTGGGTGGCCACTGCGGGGCCCGCCACCGGTGGGTGGCCATTGCAGGTGCCGTCACTGGTGGGTGGTCACCGAGGGCCGCGTCACTGGTGGGTGGTCACTGCAGGTGCCGTCGCTGATGGGTGGTCACTGCAGGTGCCGTCACCGGTGGGTGGCCACTGCGGGGCCCGTCACCGGTGGGTGGCCACTGCGGGGCCCGTCACCGGTGGGTGGCCACCACGCGTCCCGTCACCAGTGGGTGGTCACTGCAGGTGCCGTCACCGGTGGGTGGTCACTGCAGGTGCCGTCACCGGTGGGTGGCCACCGCGGACCACATCTCTGGTGGGTGGTCACTGCAGGTGCCGTCGCTGGTGGGTGGCCACCGCGGGCGCTCACCAGTGGGTGGTCACTGCAGGTGCCGTCGCGGGTGGGTGGCCACCGCGGGCGGTCACCAGTGGGTGGTCACTGCAGGTGCCGTCGCTGGTGGGTGGCCACCGCGGGCGGTCACCAGTGGGTGGTCACTGCAGGTGCCGTCGCGGGTGGGTGGCCACCGCGGACGGTCACCAGTGGACGAGTGTGACGGGAGCGCGTCACTCTTCGACACATGCCGGAAAAATTCGGCTACCGATTGTGGCGTGATCTGGGCAGATCGATCGGGGAACACTGGCGGTGAGGTAGCAGGAGGATCTTCCGTCTTGGGATACTCTCTCGGAACTCTCTCGGAATGGGTATCACTTACTCCGGGCACAAGACAAACATTTGGCTTGAGGAAGACGTACGCGACTGTTTTACATTATCCTGCTGCAGCTGTCGCAAGCATTCCGAATGACCGACAAGCAATCCCTCCGGGCACAACCTAACGGCCCACGTACAAAATCTCGCACAACGCGTGCTCAGACGCCACGCCTGGCATACCGCGCCGGGAAGCGGGTGCAATCAGCGTACCGCGATACCAGGCACGCTGTCCCACCGGCCTAGCCAGGAGGCGCCATGCCGACACTTCGGGCGACCGCTGACGGTCCGTCCGTCAGTGACACCACGCACGGGGGCACGAGGGAGTGCCGCTTACCTGATGCGATCATCGAGAGACGCCAGGTCCACCTCAGAGGCCACCCCCGATTCCAGAGAAAACTTCTCGGCAGCTTCCTTGAATCCCTCTGAAACGGACGGCATTCAACCGCTGCATTCTGCTGCATTCAGGGATATGTGCCGTAGTCAGCCCATCTAGACACTGGCCGAGGTGTGGATCGTAGGTCTCCCCCGCCCCAGGTGCGCAGTTCAGGGATCATCTGCGCTCAATGCAAGATCCTATATGTGCAATGCTGTATGCTTTTGCCAATGCTGTCATTTCAATGTGAATTTGAGCTGGCCTCCATGTTGAAGCATTATCAGTGTGCACGTCCAAGACGTCAAATTTATATGTTCTTTTCGAACAAGTATTACCAGGGTCAAGTGGAATTTGTTATTAGATGAAAGTTGTTCCCTTTCGCCTTATGATGAACTTTACCCCTGTAGCAAGAAACAATTAAATGAATTTATTCCAACCGATCCAATGATAAGTGCGTTCCACCCTCTGCACCTGTGATTTTATTGCAAACAAAGCGATTGTGGTCACTGTCAGTCACCTCAGTGGCTTCATGCGTTTCAAAACTAACCAAACAATGTCTTGAGGCCACGCGGCTCCACCGCGCAATTAAGCGCGTCAACAGTGATCCCTCGCGTATCGCAACATAGCTCATGACAGCGTACGGTGCAACACACTGAAAGCGATGAGAGGGAGCCGCCCCGACCGTCACTGACTGGCGAAAGTTAGAGAGCGGTGAGAGGGAGCCGCCCCGACCCGTCACTGACTGGCGAGAACTAGAGAGGTAAGAAGGAGCCACCTCGACCCGTCACTGACTGGCGAGAACTAGAGAGCGGTGAGAGGGAGCCACCTCGACCCACCGCTGACTGACAAGCCCCAGATAACGGTAATAAGCAGCCACCCCAACCCGGCCCCGACTGGTGAGCCCAGATAGCGGTAATACGCAACCACCCCAACGCGGCCCCGACTGGCGAGCCCCAGAGAGCAGTGATAGGGAGCTGACCCCGACTCGGAGCCCAGCTGTGGCTGGCTGGTGAGGCCCACAGTCCGTCGTCGGCTGCCTCCCTGGGTGTGGCACGGCGTGGTCCGTGCCGCTGCTCACCGGTCACCAGGTAGTTCATGATGAGCCGATTCATGTCCGACCTGCTGACGTGCACACGCTCCAGCCGGCCAGCCCACTTCTCCTTGGGCATGCTGCAGCTCTCCGCCTGCTTGCTCATCGCGCTGGCGGCAGCGGGGCACACACCAGTCACGGAGGCGCTCCGTGCACAGGAACGGGTCGCGGCAGCAGCAGGGCACACATCAGTCACAGAGGCACGCCGCGCACAGCAGCAGACTGCCGCCTGGTGGGGGTCACTGGGCACACCTGCTCTAAAACACCACATATGAGAGCACACATTAGGTATGATTGAGCAGGAGCACTTCATGGACCTTTTTCTTATTTACCATAAATGACAACATGGACTCTGCATTGCAACATGACACAAAACAAATAAGGATGCCTCCAAAAACATATCTGCAGGTTAACCATACCCCCCCATGTCAGCACTCAATTCAACTACTGCATTAACAAATTACAGCAGTCCATGTCAGCCATGCCAATGTTTACATTAAACAGCCTCCCATGATGGACAGGCAACAATTTTAATCCATGATAAAACCCTGATAACAGCAGCATTTCAATATTATACTCAACATCTTCACCACACACTTAACATGAGACTGTATACAACATGAGATGTTGCCAAAACAGCACTGATTAATTCTATCATAAACACTCACCTAGTCCTTGGCATGTCAGGGCAGGCTTTCAAGGTTCCAGTAATGAAGGGTAAATAGGAAATTACTGTGATCTAACAATGAGTATTGGAACACTTGGCCTTATTTAAGCTTGATGCTCTGTAGGAGTACATAATGGGTAAAAATTGTTTTGTTGTGTATGAAAAATCAGGAAGTTAGGTGTCATGCAGCAGTGAATACACATGACAAAAACAAATGTCAGCAATCAACACTCATAAGACTTATGTTACTTTGTTTGGCTTGATGTCTTATACAGTATGCATCCCTTTTTAACATATCTACAGCAAGAACATTGGTGAATAGTTAACACATCTCTGTAGGGCCCGAACAGGTGTGGCAGCTGTCATAACCAGGCAGGTGATGATAAGACAGAGCATCAAGCCAGATATAACAAGCATTCCAAAATTCCTCCAGTAGGGTATGCAGGAGATATACACATTCATGCCACCTGAATTCTGGCCTTTTAGTTGGCTTCCACACAGACAATTTGTTGGCTGTTAATCCATGACCTTCTGACACCAAACCCTGATATCTGACCTACCTGGTCAATTTGGCAAGCCTCAGGCACCTAGGTGCTGGGTTGACCACCACCTGCTGGATACTGATTGGCTGATACTGAGAAAGCAGAAAAACAATAGGTAATTTACACTGTGTGAGGGCATGATAGCATGAAAAATGTTGATATCACTGCTGCCCAAGTATGATGATGATGATGATTTGGGGTTTTAGGGCGCATTGACTGCTAAAGGTCATGCAGCGCTGCCCAAGTAGCTGAATATTAAAAGACTGATGACAATCATGGATAACTAATCAAAAACTTCATAAGCATTCCAAAATAGCTTGGAAAAATGTTCAAATGTGTGTTTAAGAGCATGGTATGTGACTACACATCAGACCCATGTGAGTACACATGTATGACAGGGCAAATCAATATAAAATTATGGATATTTCTTTATCACAATGGAATGGCTGTCTCATGGAAAAGTGGTGATAGGTTTCATGCTTCTCATATGACAGAAACAAGTACTGTAGAGATGGAGAATGCACCATGACATGAGAAATTCAAACCAGTGGTGCTTTCCAGAATGTGAGTGTGCATAAAAATGCATGCATGCATAAACCTAGGTCTAAAAAAATTGCCTACTGCATCAAACACCTATTTCGCACCAGTGTACAATATGCCTTACTTGCATGCATCAAATAACCTATTGTGAAGGAAAACTGCATGAATTTTTGAATTACTTTTTGTGATGAAAAATGTTTTTGGAGTCTTTTGCATGAAGCTACCTAATATCATAGTGCTTTGGAGGATTTCTTGCCTTTGGGCTAAAACTGGTGATGATGTTGCGCTGCACTTTGAGCACTGAAATTTATGGGATACATAAGCTAAAGATGTGGCAGCAATGCTGAAGTTACTTCCATGCAGGACATGTATTTTACCAGGACATGAAGTTACTGCCATCAGGACATACACTCCATGAGGAAAATCCATACCTTCCTTGCACTTCCTGCTGATGGCAAACCAGTAAATGTAATGATTTGGTGTATCACAAGAGGTAAAAGTAACAGCCCCATCACCCTGCAAACCCTCAGCATAATAAAAATAGCACTGCCTCCATAAGGTTGTAGATGGAGATTGGTCTTTGACCAAACATCCCTTGCATCCCTCTGATATCAATGCCATGTTAGCTACCTGGATGAGCAATCAACAAAGAATAACCAAAACAATGAACATTGTAAGTGAACTGAGCATACTGGTCTTAACATATCACACCAAAAAAGTGTCCAGCATCATTTTAAAATAGCAGTACAGACTGCCTTTAACATAAGCATGCACCATATTTCTTATCAGTGGCATTCTCAATTTTGTATCTCATTACCATCAGCCTTGGCCCCTAAACCAAAATTGTGACTGTGGCACATCTGTACTCAATTATAATGACTGGCAAGGGGACAACCCTCAAGATGCCAAATGCTCAACCGTAGGCCTAAAACTTGTCACTCATACCAAGCTTAACAAAAGACGCAGTGTGAGGGTTCGTTGACAGTATTATTGGGTGTGAAAGGGAACAACCCGAGCCAGTGCGTCAGGTATCTCATTAAGTTCTCCACACCGCTGATGCGCATTTTCAGACAGGCATTAATTACCTGACACTTTTCCTCCGCTCGTTCCTAGAACAGACTTGGTCCAACGCGGTTCACACTTCTTGCGCGCACCTAGCTGATAGCTTCAAAACAACAAAGCCTAAATTAAGCGCACTGCGTTCTGAAATTACGAGCGACAACTACGGCGCAGATGTGTCTTACGACTCAATGAGTGTAAAACTAAAATCGTTGCCAGCTGTTGCATTCCGACCAGCTGGTCGTGATGTCATAATGTTTATGTTGCAAAAGACGGTGTCAGGAACCTCTAAGGCTATTTTAGATAAGCTCAGAATCAACCAATTACAAGCGCATCGCATTATCGACAGTTTTAGACTGGTAATATCAGGCAGCTGCATGACTTCCAGAACGCACAAGCAAAACATCGAGCCCGAGCCCGGACACACTACATTGAAAAAGCTCCCAAATGAGATATTGCTTCCCCGACACAGTCCGGTCCGGTTCAATCCGATTGTATGGCCGACATATAGATGTGAACACAGCGTTCCGGTACAAGGCTTTGTTGCCCTTTCTAATCATAGTCAAATTCTTTCCAGTATCATTCAATACGTTCCGTCCTATGTCGATCGCGTCCGATCTTGACCTTTCCCTCACCTTGGAAATATTTTACATGCTATGAACGGCACCACCCATACATTTTCTTTTAACATGTTTAACATTGAGTATACCTGCGAGATCACCAATAACTTGAAAAACCAACGATATTTTAAAGTTGTATTAGCCATGACGTCATCGCCAGCTGACCTTTCTTCGTAAGCCTGAAACCTCTACAAGCAGCTGCGCCAATTTCTCCATCACTCTGCATCCTGATCCGTTGATTGGGAGCGCCTTGTGGTTGCGGCGGTGCTTGTGGGTACATAGGGGTGGACTTGTGGTATTATTAACATCTTTATCGGAAGCAGGAACCCTCAATTCCTGTATCATGTAGTTTTGGAGAAATTCCCTGTCGGGAATATTTTTGTGGCGTCAGGACGGGCACGAATATTATCAATACGTTGCAGTATAAAATCAGACTTGTAGACAGCAGGATTTTCCCGAACAGTACCTTTCAATTAGCGTTTGCTGTAGCTTTTCAAAAATTCGTACCATTAGAACCCTTTCTTACCCATAAAATCCTGTGATGTCCGTTTAGACAGTACCTTAATTGCTTTGTACCTACCGACAAGATAAAAATACATGTCATGCCAAACGTGCCCAGCTGAGGGGTGACATCGTAACCCAATAATAATGTTAGTGCCTGCGTGCTATAAATCTGAGTTCTCATAGTCTGATTTCATGACTAGTACCATCCATGATACATTTAGGCAATGGTTTCAGGAATTATGCAAGAAAGGTGAAATCAGTCAAAAATGCCTCTAAGATATCTTTTCAGCAAAAATTATTTGAAAATGCAGCATGATTTGGCCTGGCTTGAGTTTGGTGTACATGTGCACAAAACATTCAAAAATACTTCGAGGAGGATGTGCAGGATGTACATATATATTCATGCAACCAGCACTCTTAGTTCCCCAGCAACCTCAGTGCACAATTTATTGGTGCTTATGTATTGCCCTGGCCCGGAACTCAGACATCTGGTCTGCCCACCCCTTTTTCAGGCCTTTGGCACTTAGATAGGGTGGGATTGCCAATTTTGAGGAATGGGAGTGACACCAAAGCTAGGGGCATAATGGCATGAACAACAAGTGACATCCTGTCACTTAAGTAGCTGAATGCTTCAACACTGGTGTATCAGGTTCAGCACACCAGAGTCACATGGGTGTCCAGTGCAATGGATAATTTTTTTGTACATTGCCATACTGGTCATGGATCAAGAGATTTTGTGGCATTTTCTTAAATCGGCCCTGACCAGAATGCACTCCATCCTTACAGAGGCATTGGACCAGGGCTTCCTCCAAGTACTGAGTGGGTGCACTGGCAGGTGATATCAGATTCCAACATCCACAAAATGTTCTTGTTTTTACTTGTGTATCTCACAAGACACTTAAACAATGTCTGTGATGTTCTTGGAGAGAAAGTAACAACAGATAAAATTTTTGCTCTGACTAGCAAGGGCTAATGCTGAGCCTCCACTGCCCTGTTCTCCCTGCCCCTCCCCTCCCTTCCCCAGCTAACATGTTAAGGAGACACTTGATTGAGCTGTGAGAAGTACATAGATGTTTAATCCAGTGGTGGTCACTAATCCAGAATCCACCAGGACATCTCAATATCATCCATTGCCCAGGGTGCCTTTTTACTGGGTCATTTCACATGGAAGATGTTCATATACCATGCATATTGGCATGTCAGAAATATATGTTGATAAAAATTACAGTACCTTGCCTTTTCTGCTGCATTGCTGCACTGTGATTCTGACAGCATGGCTGCATTCAGCATGCCTTAGTGCAAGACATTGCTCCAGCCACATATAGCCCTCCAAAAATATAACTCACAAGTTTTGTGTCATTGCCATCTGTGAACGCACCACCTTAGTACACTGCCTCTGGTCCGCAGCCCTCCAGCCGTGCGATGGACAATGTGTCCAGTCGCAACTCGGTGGTGGCGACGCGCACGGCGCGCATCATGATGGAGGGCGTCGGGGCGCGCGTGATGCGCGGCCCCGACTGGAAGTGGTGCAAACAGGTGAGTGCGCGTCGCATCGGGCGGCGGCCGCTGCTGCAGCCGGCCGTGGCCGGTGAGACGGGGCTGGGGAAGGGGCAGCGAGCTGCCAGCTAGCATCGCGTGCTGTCGTGTTTTGTGTGTGCGTTCTCAGTGTCACGCGTCGCGCCAAGTGTAGGCATGTGTTACCGTGCCGCGGCATATTTCCAGGCTATGGCAATTGTACCGATCGCTGGGCGTGGGCGCTGCGTGGCTTCCTGATTTTGTAGTACCGTGTGGTCACTCACGGGCATGAGTCCCCGTTCTGCCGTCCTCACGGGACGAGCGGCGCCATAATCGAGCGCACCTGGCGCGCGCAGGACGGCGGCGAAGGCCACGTGGGCACCGTACGCAACTTCGAGTCGTCCGAGGAGGTGGTGGTGGTCTGGGACAACGGGACGGCGGCCAACTACCGCTGCGCTGGCGCCTACGACCTGCGGGTGATCGACAGCGCGCCCACGGGTACGTGACGTGTGGTGCGCGGCCAGCACTCTCTGGTATAGGAGTGGCTTGCCGTGGCGAAGGACTCACTTATCACGGGTGGCACTCACTGGTTAACGTGTCACGTGTCGTGGGCAGCCCCTGCTGGTGCGGGACTCGCTTGTGATGAGAAGCACTTGCTGGTGCTTGACTCACTTGTGATGGGGAGCTCTAATGTGTGATGCGCTTGACATGGGAATGCTCACTGGTAAATAAGCCACTATCACGGGAAGCAGCAATACATACGTCACTAGCACAGTTGGTAATGCTCGTATATTTGTGGAAGAACTGGGGCCATATGGTGTGTTTTCGTGGCATCATAGAGCAGCTCCTCTGAGCGTTCTGACCTGCACCATCTGGCTAGCCCGAGTGGGGGTCCGCCGGAGCCCCTGAGCGCTCCGCCCGCCGCCTGACCGCGGGCCGGCCCGTCTCGCCCCACCGCAGGCATCAAGCACGAGGGCACCATCTGTGACACGTGCCGCCAGCAGCCCATCTTCGGCATCCGCTGGAAGTGCGCCGACTGCTCCAACTACGACCTCTGTTCTGTTTGCTACCACGGCGACAAACACCACCTGCGCCACCGCTTCTACCGCATCACAGCCCCCGGCTCTGAGAGGTGGGGCAGCGCACAGAGCGCGCGGTCACACCTCTGGGTTGGCCGTACCGCGGCCGCTTTGGTGGCCAGTCTCGAGGTCACGTGACCACAGGTCCGCAGAGCCTTTGGTGAAGTTGTTTTCACAACAAGCGTGTTCTGACCGAATGGCATCGCTGCTGTCGCTGTTCAGGACACTCGGTCAGTTTGTGTTGGTACTATGACGTCTGCGTCGCCGCCTCGGCCAGCTTGTGTCGGCTCCGTGACGTCTCTGTTGCCGCCTCGGCCAGCTTGCGTTGGCTCCGTGACGTCTGTGTCGCCGCCTCAGGCCAGCTTGTATTGGCTCCGTGGGGTCTGTGTCGCCGCCTCGGCCAGCTTGTGTTGGCTCCATGACGTCTGTGTCGCCGCCTCGGCCAGCTGGTATCGGCTCCGTGGCGTCTCTGTCGCCGCCTCGGCCAGCCTGTGTCGGCTCCGTGACGTCCCTGTCGCCGCCTCGGCCAGCCTGTGTCGGCTCCGTGACGTCTCTGTCGCCGCCTCGGCCAGCTCGTGTTGGCTCCGTGACGTCTCTGTCGCCGCCTCGGCCAGCTTGTGTCGGCTCCGTGGCGTCTCTGTCGCCGCCTCGGCCAGCTTGTGTCGGCTCCATGACGTCTCTGTCGCCGCCTCGGCCAGCCTGTGTCGGCTCCGTGACGTCCCTGTCGCCGCCTCGGCCAGCCTGTGTCGGCTCCGTGACGTCTCGCCGCCTCGGCCAGCTTGTGTCGGCTCCGTGACCGACGTTTTCTCGGTGCGCCGCAGGGTGCTGGTGGAGCCGCGTCGCAAGAGTAAGAAGACCTCTGTGCGCGGCATCTTCCCCGGCGGCCGCGTGGTGCGCGGCGTCGACTGGCAGTGGGAGGACCAGGCGAGTGACGGGCGACCGCAGCGCCACCGGCGGCGAAAGTCGCAGCCAGAAAACGACAGGCAACGAAAATAGTGATGAGATGCAGGCCACTCAGTATTGCTAGCTGTGTTTTAGTCCCGGGAATGTTTTTACACGCTATCTCGGTTCAGCTGAGACATGCGGTTATGTTGATAAGCACCGAGCGGGATAGCGGTGCTCTGCGTTATGTGAATGCATGTGACGCTTTGCACAAAATGCAAATTGTGAATGGAATGGTCAGTAAGGTAGTTCCTCGGACGTGGATGGAATGGAAGTTTACATCTGGCATTTGCACTTACAACAGCGGCATTTGGCTTCCATTACATTCAGAAAAAAACTGTGTGATGTGTCGTTCTTATGACGTTCAGCGTGCTGTGACTGGTGTTTTGATGATGCTGGCATCCCATGTTTAGGACGGCGGCAACGGAAGGAGGGGCAAGGTGACGGAAATCCAGGACTGGTCAGCGGCCAGCCCCCGGTCTGCCGCCTACGTCATCTGGGACAACGGCCAGAAGAACCTGTACCGGGTCGGCTTCGAGGGAATGGTGAGATTAAGCAGATTGCGTAGCTGGTTTCAGCGCAATCCTAAGGCTGATAATCCAACTCATTTTCCTGGTTGAAGAGAAAAGACTATGTTCTTGTGCTTTTCACTTATTGTAGCATCAAATGGATGTAATTTGATCAGTATGACCAGTTTTCTGGAAATCTTCCTGGATAGCTCAGAATTTTGATTTGAAGTAGCCGACTCTGCAGGATAAATCTCGCTTAACTCCATGCTCACCACCATGAAAGTAATACATTTCAAATGCCTCGCTTTTCCGAATGTATGCTCTGTAATGTTTGCACCTAATGTGCCAAAATGTTTGTGCAACAAGTGTTGTGAAGGCTTGAAACACTGCTTAGACAAAAAGCTTGCGAGCATCAAGCTACTGTCCCGCGAATTCAGTGACACGGTATGTTATGGCTTTTATTTCTCCCCTATGGCGTTTACCACGGGCTCTTTTCGAGGCGCACTTTGACTTTGGGAATGGGAGCATCACATGGTCACCGCCATGGACGAGCCAAATGACCATTCATAAGCTTTTTCGTAACCTGAACGCTGTGAAATCCAACGAAATCTGTAGCGCTCAAGCACCGAGATCAGGGGCTTACGTAACTAGCGTGCCCCTGTCTCTGCGGGCAGTGCACTACGACACTGCCGTGATGTGCGGTAGTTTGTGATGCACTAGCTGCAGAAACGGGCACCGCAACACTCCTCCGAGCGGCTGAGATACAGCCACGCCTTACCGGCCCTCTCTCCATGTGTCCCCCGTCCCCCAGGCGGACCTGAAGGTAGTCAACGACGCCAAGGGTGGCACCGTGTACCGGGACCACCTGCCGCTGCTGGGGGAGCAGGGGCCGGGCCGCAGCGCCGGCCACGGCTGGAGCATCGGCGACCAGGTCAGTCATAGGTCAGGTCAGGTCAGGTGCGGCGCCCTGGGGTTAGGTCACCGGCGGCTCAGATGGTCGGGTCGGGTCAGACGTCGCTCGGAGGGCGAGAACGCACAGGTCGGCGGCAAGGTCGTGTCAGTTGTCGTACCAGAACCAGTTCAGGCCAGAGCGAAGTGACATCTGATGTTACTCTGTATGCTGAATGATGCTGGTGAGGTCAGTCAGCCCGCTGAGGTGAGTGTGAACAATGCACAGGTGTTGACCATGGATGTCCGGGGGCGTGTCGCCGCACGTTTGCTTAAGTTAGGGAAACCTGCACCACTCCGGTCATGTCAAACATAATTCACCCAAACAGTACTACAGCGTAACGAAGGGTGGCGAGAAAGAGGCCGCGTTTGCTGCCCACTGACGCTACGAGAACCGAGCGGCCGCAGCGCTCACCTCGTCCCCTCGCGCTGACGCCGCAGGTGAACGTGGACCTGGACCTGGACATCGTGCAGTCGCTGCAGTACGGCCACGGCGGCTGGACGGACGGCATGTTCGAGTGCCTCGGCACGGCCGGCACCGTCGTCGGCATCGACGAGGACCACGACATCGTCGTCTCCTACCCGAGCGGTAACAGGTGAGGCTGCCACCGTCGTCCGCGCGCGCGCCAGTGGGCCTGCCTTCCGGCAGCGGGTGTGACCTCGAACAGCAGAGCACGGAATGGAGACGTGGCCGGGGGCGGTGTAGCATAAGTTCAGCCGGAGCTCAGTGGAAGGTGTGTCAATGTGGTTTGTATTGTGAAGGGTATGAAGGGGTAATATATATCCCGTACCATATAGAATAGTATATGATAGGGGTATATAATAACAGGTGATGGGTGAAGGGGTAATATATATCCCTTACGTACGATATAGCCCATTATCCTATGCATTTGTTGTGCTCATGGAGAACGCCTCGATAGTGTGGTACGGGTCATTGCCACTGGAATTCAAACGATGCGTGCCTACGCCCTCCACTGTACAGGCCTGACCTGCGTGTTCAGTGCCGTTATCTATCAGTGGTTACCGTGATAGTCATCGATTCGAATTGACGCGGAGGCATGCTTAACCACTGCCAAGGTGGCGCCCGTCTGGCCCGGCATGTCAGCCAGGGCGGGCGTCGATGACGGAGACGTTATTCGTCGACACAGCGATATCAAGGCCAGCGGCTACCATTTATCCCATTGGTTTTCCACTCGTCGTGGCTGCTCCACTCGGTCGTCTTGTATGAAGTACACCAGCTTCCCTGCATTATGTGCCCTCCCTCCTCCCGCCGCAGTATTTAAGATATGGATGGGAAGTTTTGTGCACTCAATCCTTGTGGGCAGGACCTTTTCACTCAAGCTGTGCTGTGGATAAGATTACCACCTCCTGCCATGACCAGTGGACCCCATCTCTCCGTGACAGGCTGTCCCATTACCAGCGGATCCTCCCTCTCCATGACAGACTGTCCCATTACCAGCGGATCATCCCTCTCCGTGACAGGCTGTCCCATGACCTGCGGATCCTCCCTCTCCCCGACAGACTGTCCCATTACTAACGGATCCTCGCTCTCCCCGACAGAATGCCCCATTACCAACGGATCCTCCCTCTCCCTGACAGACTGTGCCATTACCAACGGATCCTCCCCCTCCGTGACAGATTGTGCCATTGCCAGCGAATCCTCCCTCTCCCCGACAGACCGTCCCATTACCAGCGGATCCTCCCTCTCCCTGACAGGCGATCCCACGACCTGCGGGTTGTCCCTCTTCCTGGCAGGCTGACCCGCTGTACACAGAGTACGGTGGTGCACATTTTCCTTGCTATCAGGCTTGGCAGATTTAACATATGTGTCGGAAGTATCACAGACTTGACTAGACTAGACTATCACAGACTATCACCCCCACTTCGTCGATCCGTGTACTCCGTGTTAAGCCCACCTCTTATCAGAGTCCCGTCCCCCGACAGCCCACCGCCCCGTCAACCGATGCTCTGCTGACCCGTCCCCATTAACGGCCTGTTTTCGGTGCCCTGCCTCTGGGCACGCCTCCCCCTCGTGCCCAGCCACGCGACCTCCGGCCGACCGATCCCTGTCGGCCGTGGCTAAGCCGCCCGTTCTGTCGGCGCCCCGGCTGACGTCGGCGTCGCCGCCAGGTGGACGTTCAACCCGTGCGCGCTGAACAAGGTGTCGAGCGCCAGCGGCTCGGCGGGGGACGCCGGCACCAGCCAGTTCGCCGTCGGTGACCTGGTGCAGATCCACAGTGACCTGGAGCGGATCAAGGTGCTGCAGCGGGGCCACGGCGAGTGGGCCGAGGCCATGCTGCCGGTGAGTGGCTCCCTAGTCGCCTCTGACGGGCCTTCACACTGTGATAACCCTTGGCTGAAGCTTCTTTGCAGAAGTTGAGCCACAACGATGACTGTGGGATCAGCGTCCTCGCTGAAAATGGCCTGTTGCAAAGCCCCGGAGTCCATTGCCCCGCGAGTCGTGATGTGGCAATTTGCGGAAATTGCGACGCAATGTTGCAACACGGCTGCCCTGTTTCAGCCTGACTCCTGGTCGGGTGCTAGTTGGCTGTTATTGGCTAGGACTTTAGCACGGTGTCTGGGAAGTTTGCCACACCGTGTTTGGTGTTCGGCTGCTGCACCAGCGGAGGTCCAGGAGCGGCATCCAGTCTCTTTTTAATCTGAACATTTACAATGTCCTTGTGCAACCAGTCTTGATATATTGCGGAGCTTCAACTCTTAATTGTCGCCCACAACCTTGAAAGGTAAGGTGCCTGTGTTCCTCCCAAACGCATCCGTCCTTCGAATTTTCGATCGTCTCTGCAGATCCTTGGTAGACTGTGGCACTGCTACTGTGGGTTTGTTGCTTTTTTTGCTTTCATGTGCGCGCGATCGCGATATCCCCCTGTCCGTGGTGGCGTGCCGAAGGGACGTCTTCACTGTCTGTGTTTGTCTTCAACCTCATTTTCACCTGGTCAGACTCTGGGGAACATCGGGCGCGTGCAGCAGATCTACCACGACAACGACCTGAAGGTGGAGGTGTGCGGCACCTCGTGGACGTACAACCCGCTGGCCGTCACCAAAGTGGCGTCCGAGGGCTCGGTGGCCGCCTCTTCCAGCGGCGGTACGTACCGCCACGCGGACCGTTGGGGAAAGGGTTGGCAACAGGGCATGATGATTATATGATATGATTATTCACCGCATGATGAAGCATCCATTCGTAGAGAATAGGGCACAACATTCATGCCCTTTGTAATATATGCCTACTTAGCTTAAAAAGGGAAGGGGCATTCTCGCCCCGTATAAAAGTTTGCGATGGGTATCTGTCTTCTGTGACTCCTGTTGCCACATCTATGGACCGGGGGTGGCATTGGGGCTCTACGACGCATTCAGCTACTGGGGCTGTATGACGTTGACCGCCTCTCACCCTGGCGGGAAGGGCGGACATCGCGGGGAATTGAACCCCGTACCTCTGGTTTCCCAGAGGTGCAGTGGTTAACGCAAACGCGTTAACCACTACACTATCGACACCCCATGTGGCTTAAGTCCCATAACCTGGTCTGATAAGACACCGGTTGTACATTATCACTGCTGGCAGACATATGGCGGCAGGCGATGTTAATTGCTAACCTTTCCAACGTCATGTTCAACCATCATGGTCATTTAGCATAGTTCCGCCATAAATGTAACATCATGCCAAAGTCCTATGCCTCAAATCAGTGCCAGAACCTTTGACTCTTGTCTCGAAATGTTTCCTTGGCTTAAGACGTGGTTGTGTCTAATTGTTTGTGGGTGCTATGTTAAATTTGTTATAGGATAATTCCCCCAGTATCTTGTCCAGGACACTACATGAGACGTCCATGGATAGGAAATAGCCCTGAGAGACCGAAGGCGTTTTCAGTGATGCTTATTTTTCATGCCGTTTACGTGTCGGATCCACCCCCGTTTGACGAATTCAAGAAAAGGAGTAAATGTTGCGCGTCTTAATGTTCACTATCAATATCAATAGCTTAAGATATCAGTCATGGACAAGAGGAGATACCCGTCGTCAAGAAGATCAGCACTCGACGCCTTAATTTGCGGTGTTTTACGAGCGAGGCGGTATAGATGTGCTAGTTGTTTTTATCACGTTGATGACGCCAAAAAAGTGAGCTTATGGGGCCAGGCACCTCTAGCAAACGAGACCAGTAAGTTTCGTCTGTGCATTTCAAAGTCTACCTTGCACGGTAGTGCAACACAGGGAGGTCCAGTAATGTAGAATTTTCGCGTTTATCTACGAGAACTGGCTGCAAAATGGCCAGTTATGAACCAGTAATTTTTGGCGCGGGCTTGGTAACTTTGTCGTGGTCTAAGTAGATGAATCTACAGAAGTACGGTTTTAGCAGCTTTCTAAATTATTGTGAAAGCAGCACTTGCGTGCGTAGGGGTGGGGGCATCGGATACAATTAACTCGCGCTTGCCCCCCCCCCCCCTGAAGATTTTTCTGGGATGGTTTCCTAAAGGCCCGACGTATCCGCGCCACATTTTGCATAACTGGAGACAATTGAATAGAAGATTGTTTTTTAATAAAAAAATTAGATGTGCCTTGTGAGGTCACTACGGCAGGTCAAAGTCAGGCCACGGATTCAGCGAAGTCATTTTCTAGGGAATCATTCAATCTGATGCGACAACGGAGTGTTAGACATAACCATACATCTGTGAGATACTTTCTAAAGTAACACAGCAAGTGAATAAGCAAATGCAAGCAAACTCATTTTTGAATGAACGAATTCACTGGCCTAGGGTCAGATATGAAGGTCAGACCAAGGTCAAAGCCAACCTGTTTTGTTACTCAAGGGCTTACTGTATGGGGTAGTTTGTGGTGCTCATTTCGAATCTAGTGATAACAGGAGCCGCATTATGCATCTTCTATGAACTTCATAAAAGATCAGATACATGTCATTGACCTGTAATGACGCAGTTCGACTATTTTGTTTTAGGAACATACTGCCTGGCGTAATCTTTGTCGTTTTTTCAAGTGCAAAACTCGAAGCACTGCTGTGTGATTTTGGTCAACATGGCCAAAATCATACAAGAAGGGTCAGACAAGGTCGCTGACCTTAAATGAGGATGTGACCTTTTGCTAGAACCTTATTCAGGTTCTGGGGTGCTTTGGAGACCAACATGGGGTTTGACCTTGTTTGACCTTATTCAACCCGAAGGGTGTAACCTGGGGGCCTCAAACTTCGACTTGAGTGGGTCCACGTACAGGCCATACATTCTTGGATTTGGTGTGTCTAGCTCTCTTAGTTCCTGAGATCTCAGGGAGGTCAAATTGACGCCCCACCCAAGCGAAGGGTATCCAACCGGCCGCCCGGGCGCGTGTTAACAATCCTATGGATGTGTCGTTTTTATGCCCCAAATCTTTCCTCAGCTTAGCTTTACATACTGTCGTTAGTCGTCGTCCATTTGGGACTTTACGGACACACTCGGACGCTGGGGGACAATATGGTGTCGTCCTGCCTCTCGTCCTGACGGGAAGGGCGGACGCTTGAAACCAATATGGCGTCGCCTGCCTCTCGTCCATGACGGTGGAGGGCGGGTGCGCGTAGTAGTCCGGCACCCGCACCCCTGGTTTCCCTTACCCAGTGAGCCTCAGGCGGGTTGTGTGACGGCATATGCCGGCGTCTCCTGCGTCCAGAGCACTCACGGAGAGATCCCGCGCGACACGTCTGGAACTGGTCGACGCTGTTTCCGAGATATGTCCGGTGTGCGAGGTCGATTTCGGAAAAAGCATCGGCCGATTTCGGGTAGGTTCCTTCACACGTATGGGCATGACAACGTTGAGATCTGAAGCGAGCTGTAGGTTTTGTAGTCGTCTGTGACATGTAACTGCCAGTATATCGTCACATGCTCTGGCTGTTGAGGATTTGATAATCCTTGAAATTGTCCCAGAGTGGACGGACTCAAGCTCTTCGCACACGAGAGCGCGTAGCCAGCTATACACAGCGACCCACACGTTTGCCAGCGCGATTGTCCGCTTAGTTTTCTCTGTCAGAATCCGTTAATCTTGTGTGGCTGTGAGACCAATTTAGCGAGATCTGGACGCGATTTCGACCCGTGTCCTTCAACTTCTCCAAATTAAAATCAAATTTCCACGTAAATAAAATGGGAACGCGAAATTGCGGTGATATTGCAACATTGTGGAAAACTTACCTGATCAGTGAGTTTGCTGCATGTTCACATGGAGTCGCGGCGATAGGCAGGGCCGAGCCGGGCTGGGTCGGGTCGCTCAAGCTCAGGGCTGGTCCGTAGTCCAAGTAAGAGTCACTTGTGCTTCTGTCTCGCTGGAAGTTACGTCAGGAGAAGCGACGGTAGTGGCTTGAAGAACGAGAATGTTAGCCTCGCGTGCTTTACAGTCAGTGCTCGCGGCACAGTCATGGCGATATCCCTGGATGTCGATAAGATCATCGTGGTCTATTTGTGTCGGGAGATGTGACCGGCTGGCGACACATCATTTTTCTGAATATTATTTGATACATTATTTTTCAGGGAAATGGCTGGCGTGGATGTCAAATGGCTTATGAGCACTTCCTCTGGCGTTACCCAAGCTGTTCCGCTCCAATTGGTCGTATAACTTTGTCTTTTGCCTTTTGGCCGAAAGGCAGTTGAAGTGCCGTGCAGACCCACGCATTAGCCTCTAACCGCCAAGACAGTACCCTCACCACTCAAGCATCATACCAGACAGCGGCAGTTCTTGAAAAGGGCAAATCGATGGATGGCAGCAAAGACCTCGACAAAATCGCTCGCCATCACATGCTGTATTAGACGCATGCCAAGCACGTGCTAACGTCATCGAACTCTATGGTGGGCTGGCTCGAAGTATAATTACCTGGATTGAATTTCATTTGACGCTCACCTGAAAGAGATGAATCGCATAAATGCACGATGCGCACTGGCTACAAAGCCAGAGGGCTTACGGTACCCCTTAGTTACAGTGATTGGTCTACCTCCCGTTTTCATACTGCACGTGCTGTACTCATCTCAGCCGATCGCGGGCCCCGTGCGCGCCTCGCCAACGCTCCGACTCGCCGACGTCTCGCCGACGCTCGCCCGCAGAGCGTCTGACAGCGCTGCTGAAGAAGCTGTTCGACTCGCAAGTGTCGGGCGACGTCAACGAGGAGCTGGTGAAGGCGGCCGCCAACGGCGACATCCAGAAGTGTGAGGAGATCCTGAAGCGGCCGGACGCGTCCCGGGACGGCGTGTTCGCCGGCCACACGGCCCTGCACGCCGCCTCGCAGAACGGCCACCAGGAGGTCATCAAGCTGCTCCTGCTGCACAAGGTCGACACCGAGATCGAGGTACGTGGAGCGGCGGCGGCGCGGCCGACCGCGACACGGCAGCGGCAGCGGCATCGGCTGTTTCCGCACAGCTGGAGTTGTGGGTGTAGATGAAAACATGTGGGGAAGTCCGGAGCAGTGTGGGGCAAAGGTAACGCTGGCGTTTCAGGTCCCGAGCTCAGTTGTGGGTGGCTGTGGAGACAAAATAGTTTCGATGCAAGTTCATATTTGACTTTGGAGTGCCGTCTACCAGTGTGGTTTCTACGCTCCCGTTTACTGACATGGTAAGGGCGAATACCCATAAGGGTGAGTGCGTTTCACTTTTTGTTGGAACAACGATTGCCGGGCTCTTTCGACGTGTCTTAACTTGATGATTTTAAGCGTCACCTGTGCGTTGCCAAGGCGCAAATTTTCAGACTGCTGAAGGCTTTGAAGTTTCAGGAGTTGGCATGAGTTGCATATTGTTGCTTGTGCGACTGAGATGTCCTTTGCTCATTGATGACAGCCCCGTGTCCTGGTTGTTTGATGTTTGACAACGTTTGGCGTGCCATGGATAAATTGGCTGCGCTCGGCAGGTGTTAAATCCGCCATATACCATATGGTTGCGGATCGTAAGCATAGATGGCACTGTAATCAGAGTGGTATTTGCAAGAGGTTTGGGTTTTTGAGTTACATAAGATGTACCAGGTACAAGAGGCATTGGCTGAATAACTGGAGGTAACGCAGGCATCTGTGCATTTTTTGTGTGTTTCATACGATCGAGTCAGTAAATACGACCCGGTCCATTTTAAAAATTACTTGAGCTGTTTGATGCCTTTCTGAAAAAAAACAACACGTGGCTTCATGCATGTTTTGGAAGAGAACACGTTGATGGTGGTGCGATAAACTACACTGTTCGTTACCACTCAGTACATACCGATTCAAAGCGCGCTGTGCAGGGCGTATGTGGCGTGACAGACTTCCCGTGATGAACAACTGTACACTGCGTTAGGGGCTTATCACGACACAACGCGTGTATGTGCGGCACTCATGCTTAGCGGTTGGCAAGCATAGCGGTGACGTTAGGCTTGACTGGCTGCTGGCTTGACGATGTAGCTTCCCGTCATGTGATGCCTAGCGGTGAACACGGATCCGGGCGTTGTGGGGGCCGGGGCGTCGCGTGCCATGTGAGGGTTATGTTCGATGTTATGTTCACACACGTCGCGTTCGATCTTTGGAGGTCATCCTGCAGTCAGCAAGACTGTTCACCAAAACATATGGTCTAATTGTGGTACGCCGCAGTCAACGTGTCGCGTTCTCTTTAGTATAAGGTACATACTACATGACGTAAAGCTGGCATTCAGCCTTACGGTGAGCTGGTACAATTAAAAAACGTACTGGTGGGCAACATACTTGTATAGGGCCGCACAATTTTTGCCAGCCAGACCCACGTATTCAGCTGAGTTCTGGCAGAGTGGGTGCTTTGGCCGTGCCCGCCAGTGCCAGTGGTGTCTGAAAATCCATGGTCCGTTTGATTTTCTGCGGCAGGCAAGATTAATGCCGCTGATGGATTGCGAACCGGCTCCGGTCAGCGACCTGACGCTGTAATGTCTTTGTGTCCAGCAGATAAAGTGTCTCTGTATCTGGCACATACAGCGTCCCTGTATCTGCCCTATACAGACCGTCTCGACTGCAGCAGGCAGCCTCGTCGCCTGGCGACCGCAGGACGGCTGACCAATAGACGCTTTGATCTTGACACCTGTGTGTGTGTGGGGGGGGGGGGGTGCGTGCGTGCGTGCGTGCGTGCGTGCGTGCGCCTGTAAATGTATATGGACTCGAACAAATTTTGGTTGCATTAAACGCAGGCCTCCACGCCGATGTAAATTATGTGCTCCCGGCAGCGCGGTGACGTCACGTTTGCGCCTGCTTGGTCAGGCTGGAGCGGTACACTGGGTCGGTGCATGCACACTGTTCGGCGGCAGGTCACGGGCGAGGACTGGTGGCTGACTCCCTGTGTGATGCAGTCATCATCCCAGCCTGCGAGCTCTGTCCCCACCTGATTTCCGCGTGCCGGAGGTTTTCCAGTCACCCACCCACCTATCCCGCTACGAGATCGGTGGCCAGAGTACCTCGTCAGTGCCGGCGGAGTTTTTTTTCTGGCCCCTGTCGAGCCGTTCCTTGACCAGTCACTCACCGCTCAAAGCCCGCAAACATCCCCGTCCGCTTAGAAGTCTGCCGGCGAGGCTTTAACGGGGTCCCATGTCCTGTCGCAGTGCTGTATGTTTTACCATGCTTGACTTCTAACCGCGAGAATGTAGGCCAGCGACCCCTGCCAATGACATTCAGGGCGCCGGTGCTTCAATCGGTGTTCAGAGATTGCGACGATGTCCACCTGTCTGGCTTCTCGTGTTATCGACCCAATGGGCAGAGGCTTTGTTGCCAGGCCGGCTACCTCCGAAACAGTGCGTGTCTAAGTCGCCCTGTGCCGTACGTGCCCACTGAGAGGCAGCCGCGGGGTGGTCAGGACGCGCGCTGATGACCCATGAGGTCGCTGCGTGAGCGCGGGCAGTCGATTCGCCCGAAGACGCCAGATCCTCATCGGTGACCCCGCCACCCCTGTCGGTTACCTGCGTTGTCCAGCACGCCCGGCAGGCTACTGACGCCGCGGCCGGCCGGTGCCGCAGGACAAGGACGGAGACCGGGCGGTGCACCACGCGGCGCACGGCGACGAGCCGGCGGTGATGGTGCAGCTCATACAGGCCGGCGCCGACCC